CATGTCTGGTAGTGGGGCCGGCCATATGGTCCTCTCTGTGCATTGGCTGCTCTGAGCAGGGATATCATCCTCAAGGCTTGGTGGGCCAGGATGTGCTCCACTCAGTCTTCCTCCTCCTTCATTTGCTCCCGTGCGCTCTGATCAGACATGTCTCTCCCTGAGCTACAGACTCAGTGCTGTCTTCTGAAGTAAATTCTTCTGCCGAGAGGGGCAGCTGTCCACATAGTTGGGATTGGGGCCGGCCCCACAGACCTTTCTACTGGTTCCCTGCTTCATGCCAGTATGTTGCATTCTCATCTTGGAGCACCGGGTTAGTCTGGTCCCTCTTTCACTGTGGAGATATAAACAATACCCTCCCCTTGGGTGGGTTAGTGTCCTGTGCCCCCACTACCCATTTCTGGTTCCACCCCCCTTCCTTTTTAGTTGGCTACCATATGTATCCCTGGATTTGATCTGGCCCCTGCCATGCTACCTGGACCTCACCCCAGGAATGCTTGTATACAGTGTCTTTTTCCCTATCCCCTTTTGCATTTTTTCCTTTGAGCTTACCTCAGTGGACTCATGTTGTACTTGTCCTTTTGTGCTTGGCGTACTTCGCTTAGCATGATTTCCTGCAGTTATTCATGCGTTCACCGCTGCATTTTAGCGATGCATAGTACTCCATTGTATGTATTTACCACAGTTCTTAATCCATTTGCCTGTTGATGGAAATTTGGGTTGTATCCAACTCCTTGCATTGTGAACTGTGCCGCGATGAACATTGGAGCACAGATGTCTGGCCTTGGTTTGTTTCTTGCCTCTTCTGGGTATATGCTGGGTCATGTGGTAGCTCAATTTCCATCTGTTTTAGATATCTCCAAATCGATTTCCATGAACAATGCCCATTTTGGGGACCCACCCAGACCTACTAAATCAGACTGTGGGCTGGGGCTGTCTTCTGGGTTTTCCCAAGATGATACCACGTGCTCAGGTGTGATATTCATTGTAAATAGGAACACAATCCATTGCTTTCTGATTACTTCTGACTCACTGCTACTCATTAGATTTCCAAAGCTGTAATATTTAAGGAAGCTGACGCCACTTCTTTCTCCTGTGGAGCAGCTGGTTGGTTCAAACTGCCGACCTTTCTGTTAGCAGCCAATTGCCTAATGCATCCCTAAAATGCATCGATTTTTCACAAAGAGAACCTTCATTCACCTTTTCCTCTTCTTCCCACTGCTTAACCAGTGTTAACCCTGTAAACCACTCAGTCATCTGGGTGCTGACACTCTGGTTTGTGAGCATCTAGGGACCAGCTGTTTGTGCTGAGTTATGTAATCCCACCAGACACAAGTTTCCCCAGGGCACTTTGCCACATCTGCTCAAACACACTTTCTCTTTCTGTAACAGGACAATCCGTCCCAACAGTGCAGTGCGCTCCATCTATAAAGCTTCGGGCTGCTCAGATAATCCCAACCACCATGTCAACTACCTGGAGCATGTAGTGGTGCGCATAACCATCACCCACCCCAGGAGGGGAGACCTGGCCATCTACCTGACCTCACCTTCAGGAACCAGATCCCAACTGCTGGCCAACAGGTATGGTGCTGTCCCCTGCCCACCAATGTGTGGGGGGTCACACAGCATTCAGCTCATCCTTACAAGCGGGGGTTCAGATTGATGTCATGAGACGCTCTCAGGGGTGTGTGTGTGTGTGTGTGTGTGTGTGTGCGTGTGTGTGTTTACCTAGAAACAGTACTAAAAACCTTGCCATCAAGTCGATTCCAACTCACAGTGACCCTGTAGGACAGGATAGAACAGCCCCTGCAAGTTTCCCAACTAACTCTTTTGGGGGAGTAGAAAGCCTCATCTTTCTCCCTGCGAGTGGTTGGCTGTTTTGAACTGCCGACCTTGCAGTTTGCAGCCCGAGTAACCACTACACCACCAAGGCTCCTAGAATCGGAAGGCCTTGGGAAATAGTATGTGAGAGTTGGGCAATATGAAAAGGCAGCTGAAAAAAAATTGTCATCTGTTGTTCTCCTTTCGTTTTTCTGATTAAAAGATTATTTTATTGGGGACTCTTAAAGCTCTTATAACAATCCATACATCAGTTGTATCAAGCATATTTGAACATATTGCCTTCATTTATGTTCTAGACATTTACTTTCTATTGAACCCTTGGTATCAGCTCCTCTTTTGCTTGCCTTTCCCCCTGTTCTTCTTTCTTTAAAAAAAGGAAAAAGAAAGGCCAACATTTATACACACACTAAGAGATTTAAAAGAATTTATGCAATCTCAGAATTAATGTATAATTGAGCTTTAATAAAAAGGAGTACAAGAAGGAAGAAATGTTCTAGAACCGATTATAGTGATGACTGTACAACTCTTCTCAATTTGATTCAACTATCGGATTGTAGGCTATGTGAATTGTATGTCATCAAACTATTTTTAAGTGAATAATTAATAAAATATAATGAAGCTTTTCCCTGAACTTTTTGAAGCCTGGTTGTGTGGTGTGACAGGGATTTATGAGATACCTTCACTAAGTTCATGGAATGAAGAGCTCTTGGCACTTTTCCAATAACGGTTGAAACCCCCTCATATTTGAAGGATTTGTCCCATGTGACAGTAGCTGGTGGCAATTCTGACAAATCCCTAGGTCAGACATCAGGCTGGGGACCTCTGCAGCCTTGTACCCCAGCTAGCTTAGGTGGCAAAAAGAGTTAAGGTTACAGGCGACATCTCTATTTATAGTCTGGAGGGAGAAGCCTCCTAGGGAGAGCTCCACCTTGTTCTTAAGGTCAGGTCCACCACAGTTTTTAACCGAAAGCCAACTGATTGAGTGCTATGCGACCACTGCAGCCCAGTAATCAGACTGCTGTTTACTCAAACAGCGGCCGCTGTAACCCGGCCACGGGCAAAAACCACACCGGTCCTTTTCCTTCGCCTTCTCCCCCAAGAGGAGCATTTTGTGAGACCCTAAGCCCAGCTCCTGCGAAACGCCGGCTCTTTGCATCACGGCGAGACACAGCCACCTGTCCGTGTGAGGCGACCCTTGGCAGGGTTCCTCTGTGAGAACACTAATAACCAGCCACACGCGGTGAGAGGCCAAGGGCAAGGCCAAAGGTGACCCTGCGCAGTGTCTTGTAGGCATTCCCAGACTTCATCCGTGGTGTCTATGGTGCACTGCCATCACGTCAGCCACCCTATCATGGCAACCCCGTGCATCTCAGAAGGAAGCACAGACGGTGGTGATGATCCATGCCATTTTCGCTGGGTCAGTTCCTGCAGTTGGATTAGTCAGGCCTTTCTTCCCAGTTCACTAAAATCTGTTTGACATCATAGCTGCACGAGCAGACATTGGCTGTGCTTGAGGGTCATGGAAGAGAACGCTGGTGTCCCACATGGAAGGTGAAACTTCTGTGATTCTGTCACTGAACTGCCAGCATCTCTTCAACTGGCTGCAACTCCCTCAGAAGAGAGGACGTGCTCACGTTCTGAGTAATAGTGGCTCTGAGCCAGGGGCACAGAATCCAGTGGGCAAGGCAGGCACGCTTACTTGTGCTTACTTATTCATCTGCAGTGGACAGTGAACCTTGCTTACCAGGTAACCTGACACTGCTTGGAGCATTCAAACCCAAATCAGTTAGGTGCATTTTATTTCTGACCTTCAATCTGATGTGTCCTCTTTAATAATAATAATAATTTATAAATTATCGGAGGTTCATGAGGCAGAGAGGAAAGAAAAAATGAGCTGATACCAAGGGCTCAAGCAGAAAGACAATGGTTTGGAAAAGATGATGGCAGTCTGGGTACGCATGTGCTTGACACATGGATGTATGGATTAATGTAAGAGCTGTAAGAGCCTTCCCCCCCACCACATAAAATGCTTTTTTTAAAATCCCAAAACTTAATGTCCTCCATGAGGATATAGGGAAACCTGGACTTTGAGCTTTAAACACTAAGCCCCGTTTTGCCAGGATAAATGCGTGCAGGTGCAAAGAATGTATGGAAGCGTTGGCATCCCATCACCAGGCGCTTTCCCACACCCACCTCCCACTGCCACGGAGATTTTGCTGCTGCCTCCTGGTAATCACACTACCTGACGACCGACCGGTGCTTGCTTCGGCACAAGCCAGGCCTGCAGATGCGCCGCAATTGGGAGATAAAAGGAAGGTCACACCTGCTCTTGTTACTGAATCTCCAGAAGGCCTTTTGTGTTCATTCTGCTTTTACTATCCTTTTTCCTTACCTTTATGTGTCCAGGCTGAACTTGAAAGGGTTTCCCAGAGCAGCCCTGCGAAGGGCAAGGGCTACCTTCACATAGGTGCAGTCTGAGTCCCGGCCCCTCCCCGCTCTGCCTTGTAGGAACCCAGGCCGGCTGCTGCTGCGCGCTTTGAACACTGCCTTTCTGGATCCCTCCCGCACAGTTAGCTTTTTTTCGTTGGCTTCCCCTAGGATGACTTCAGTGAGGAAATTTGTGGGGCAGAGGAGCGAGGGGTTCCAGCTCCGGCACTTAGTGCCTTACAGCCGCGGGGCCTCCTTCTCGGTGCATTCCCTAACAGCACACGCCTGCTCTGCCTTTGCAGCGTGCGGGAGGACTTCCCTGGAGAAAGGACGCAGCTGTCCGATGCCCTCCCTGGCCAGCTTGACTGCCTCTCCAGCAAATCCACCAGACTGCCTTGTCCTCCCTCTCGGAGCGGCTCTGTTGCACACTCTCCTGCTAGCTGGTGTTAGCGCCCCGGACCCATGGGTCGCTCCGACTTATGGCGTCCCCTCCCACGATGGAGCAAAGGCTGCCTGCTCCTGCATAGGCCACATGATCCATTGCCGATCAGACTCATTGCACCTCAGCTGGTGTTCTGAAGTTGATTGCCAGACCTTTCTCTTCGTCTTCCAGCTGAGGGTTAAAAATAAGTAGCCACCTGCATAAGGTATAGAGATTGGAGTGGAAGAAAAGGAGGCTGGAGGCGCTGAGAGGCGGAAAGGAGGCTAGAATCATCTGTCCGCAGCACCCCCCAAGACGTTCCTCTGCACGGCTGGCCCTTGAGATGGGAAACAGCTGCATCGACCCAGACGTTTCCCTGAGCATGGCTGCACGCCAGGGCCTGGCTTCCAGGTTCTTCTGCGGAAGGACGGGGCCACTCTGGGTCCTTTTGTGTCATCTTGGTATATTCTGGACTTTACTCCAGCAAGAATTGGTTATGTTGGCCTTGTGTCGAAGCATGTCCCCAGAGCTGGGAAGTGTCAGATGTGCAGAAGAGAGGGGTGTGGGGGAGGACTGGCTTCTTTTGTGCCTGGGGTACTACAGGAGGGTCTACAAAGCAATGCTCTTGGTCAAGGAAAGGTGAGGAGGTCAGATTGTGGAAGGAATATGTAAGTCAGGATTAATGTCACGGCAATACATCATTCTTTTGTGAAAGACATCCAGATTTCTCAAAGGCACCGTGGAAAGCAGAGTGACACAGCTAAAAGAAATTCTGGGAAATGGTGGTAAAGCCTTGGCCCCGTTTAGCTCTCCTGCTCTTCAGTGAGATGTGGCCCTCCTTCCCTAGATGCAGAATGCCCAGCCCCGCACACTGCCTAGCTTGACAGCCGCCCAGGCTAAGTCCCCCAGGCTCGGCAGCAGTCTTCAGGGGGGTGTGCCCTCGGCTTCGATAAGAACTCTGCTGGGCACAGTCATGACTTTGAGACAGAAGCGGGGCGGGAGGGGGGGCGGAGACATCCAAGCGGAGGGCGGAGATCATGAGAACTGTTCTCGTGTTCCGTGTTGTTAAAAATGTGTGTCCTACTATGTTGTGAATGGGTGTGGCGTCAATTACGTCTGGTGGTAGCACCATGTGCAACAGCAGAGCACTGCCCTGTCCTCCAGCGTCGTCACAGCTAGTACTAAGTGTAAGGCCACTGTCAAGGCCACTGTGGATTTTGGGAGGCCGGTGGGGCTGTCAGGTAAGTGTCGGACTGCTAACTGCACCTCCACATTCTAAGTTCAGACCTGCCAGCCCATCCTCCGGAGAAAGTTGAAGCCGCTGTTCTGTACAGATCTTTAGCCTTGGGAATCCCATCCAGGGCTGGTTTGAGTTGGAATCAACTTGTTGGCAGTGGATTTATTTTTCCATCCCACAGGTTGGGGTCTGTCTCCAACATCCTATCAGACAGTATTCTGTTGTGATCCAGAAGGTTTTCATGGGCTAATTTCATGGGCCTCTCTTCTCAGTGTTAGTCTCAAGCTCTGTTGAAACGTGTCCACCATGGCTGACTCATAGGTGACGGCGTCTCCAGGATCATAGTTATGTGCCGTCCCTCACACGGTAACAGACTGCACAGCACCCCTAGCTTAACTCTAGAAAGATAACTTTCCATAGTGAAAAGGGCCAGGGTGGCTTCCGGGAAGTCTTCATTCTCCTAGTCATTTCTGCAGCACCCCTTTCTCAGGCCGCTTCTTTGGAATCTGTTTTCTGCAACATTGCTGGGCTATAAGTACAGGGTGAACCTTTCTGCAACATTGCTGGGCTATAAGTACAGGGTGAACCTGGAAGTACAGGTTGTTATAAGGCTGTGTGGGCTGTCTGGGACCCCGCATTGGCTCCCTGTCCCAG